TCTCCCTCTGCCTCTCCTCTGTGTAACTCTTTCAAATAAATAAATCTTTAAAAAAGAGAGAGAGTGAGCCATTTTCATAAAAGCCTAAGGCTGACCAGAGGAGTCTCTCTCTCTGCTTCCTGCATTGAAATAGGATCTCCTACTTCTGCCATCTACCAGGGGCTTTCCCAAAAGCCTGCACCATCCTACTTGGACGTAAAGCCTTCACAACTGTGAGCCACATCTCTCTTTCTATAAAGTTAGCCTGTCTCAGGCATTTCATTATAGTAACTAGAAGCTGACCAAGACGGGGAGAGACCAGAGAGCGACAGTGGGGGGCTTTTTCATTACGGTGTTCAGGGAAGACAGCTCCACAGAAGTGAAATCTGCAACAAAGACCTGACTGAACCCAGTGCTATTCCTGCTAACCCTGGAAGAGGGGCTGGACGCTGTGGTGCAGGTTAACCCGCAGCCTGTGATGCCAGCACCCAGATCAGAGCTCTGGTTCAAATCCTGGCAGCATCACTTTCAATTCAGCTCCCTCCTAAGGCAGCAGATGGTGGCCCAAAGACCTGGGCCCCGAGCACCATATGAGAGATGAGGATGGACGGCCCAGACCAGGCCTGGCTGTTGTGGCCATTTGGGGACTGAACCAGAAAATGGAAGACAGATCAGTCTCTTTCTCTGTCACTCAGTCTTTCAAATAAACAAATAAATCTCTTCAAAAATGGAAGAAACTGGGGTCAGTGCTGTGGTTTAGCAGGTGGCACCGGCACCCATGCCGGTTCGAGTCCCGGCTGCTCCACCTCCGATCCAGCTCCCTGCTAATGGCCTGGGAAAGTAGTGGAGGATGCCCAAGTGCTTGGGACCACGCACCCATGTGGGAGACCCAGATGAAGTCCTGGCTCCTGGCGTCAGATTAGCCCAGCTCTAGCCGTTGCTGCCATTTGGGGAGTGAGCCAGTGGATGGAAAACCTCTCTCTCTCTCTCTCTCTCTCTCTCTCTCTGTAACTCTGCCTCTCAAATAATAAAATCTTTTTTAAAAATGGAAGGAATTAGGCCGGCACCGCAGCTCAATAGGCTAATCCTCCACCTTGCGGCGCTGGCACACCGGGTTCTAGTCCCGGTCGGGGCGCCGGCTTCTGTCCCGGTTGCCCCTCTTCCAGGCCAGCTCTCTGCTGTGGCCAGGGAGTGCAGTTGTGGCCAGGGAGTGCAGTGGAGGATGGCCCAAGTGCTTGGGCCCTGCACCCCATGGGAGACCAGGAGAAGCACCTGACTCCTGCCTTCGGATCAGCACAATGCGCCGGCCACAGTGCGCAGGCCATGGCGGCCATTGGAGGGTGAACCAACGGCAAAAGGAAGACCTTTCTCTCTCTCTCTCTCTCACTGTCTACTCTGTCAAAAAAAAAAAAAAAAAAAAGGAAGGAATTAAATTTAAATTCATCGTATGCAAAAATGTCTTCCTTTAAAAAGGAGGGAATACCTAAATACAGTTGCTCCTTTTTATACAAACAAACCATGACTTTGGTTTCCAGACATTTTACCCTGTGGTAAGCAATTTCTTGACAGTCCAACACTGCCCTCTCCTCCCACTTGGAAGACATTCCTGGAGAGGCAGTCATACTCCCAGTACTGCCTGTCATCCTCCTTGCTAATAAGTCATATTTCCCTTTATAAAATCACTCCGAAGAGAGGGACAAAATGATCACTTCTGATATGCTGAGTTCTCACTTTTAATTCTCACAAATACTTTCTTATTGTGGCAAAATACACATAACATAAAATTTACCATTTAAATCAGTTGTAGGTGCACAGTTCAGGAGTATTAAATCCAAATGGGCGACCATTGCTATCATAACCTCCACCCACACTCACCTTTTCAGAGGAGAAAAATGAGACTCAAAGAGGATAAATAACTTACCAATAGCTACAGGAAGGACCAGGTTTGACTCCTTCCATAAACTCAGCTCATTCTGACTGAGCACATTAGGCCAGACTGCGGAAACACAAAGAAAAAGGTATCCCTCTGCTTAGGAGGCTGTGCTCTCCACATCAGAGCCCCAGCCAGCACTCACCGTAACACCCCTGAACCTGCAGGGGACACTCCAGAAACACGAAGCCCTAGCTACCATGCCTCTGTCTCTACCCTAAAATGGCCAACCTCAGAAGAAAGAAACCTACTCTTTTTTTTTTTTTTTTTTTTTGACAGGCAGAGTGGACAGTGAGAGAGACAGAGAGAAAGGTCTTCCTTTGCCGTTGGTTCACCCTCCAATGGCCGCCGCGGCCGGCACGCTGCGGCCAGCACACCGCGCTGATCCAATGGCAGGAGCCAGGAGCTTTTCCTGGTCTCCCATGGGGTGCAGGGCCCAAGCACCTGGGCCATCCTCCACTGCACTCCCGGGCCACAGCAGAGAGCTGGCCTGGAAGAGGGGCAACCGGACAGAAGCCGGCGCCCCGACCGGGACTAGAACCCGGTGTGCTGGCGCCGCTAGGTGGAGGATTAGCCTAGTGAGCCGCGGCGCCGGCAAAGAAACCTATTCTTTATCACCCCAGAGAGCTGACCGCAGGGCCTCAAGTGCCTAGCTGTGTCCCCTGGTCACAGCTCTTCCTGCAGTGGGTACAGATGACCATGAAACAACCCCCACACCTCAGTCCAGCCATCACCGGCTTTTCCTGTTGCACCTTCGGGCAAACACTTCGCAGCGGTTCTAGCAGAAGAATCTCATAAAGTCTTCCTCAAAACAGCCAACGACGACATTTCTCTGTCTTGAAGAGGGCTTCTTTCTTTTAATTTGTATTCCCATAAGGACTCCATAGTTATAATTAAATTCAAAATAAATGGGTGCTGGGTTGTAACCATTATGCTCTCTATAGAGCAAGCAGACCTCAGGGACTTGCTCACCACTAACAAGCTCACGTTTGTAGAAGCCTGTAAAGACAGAACACCTACACACGATCGTTTTCCCGACTACTGACAGCCACATAAATGGGGGGGCTGGCGCATCAGGCTGGGGACGGCTCCCCAGCAAGATCTGAGCTGCGGGCTGCAGAGCACCCTGAGGCTGCTACGACACTGAGCGCAACGCCGCTGCGCAAAGCAAAGAACTCAACCCGAGAGGGACGCAGCAACGACTGGAAAACCAGGCAGCACAGGCAAAGCAGGGTCTGGATGAAGGCAAAGCCGGAGAATACATGCTGCGTTGAAAAAGCTCTAGCAGCAAAACAAAGTACAGATTCTGAAAAATACTAAAAACTCCAGAATCTGAAGAAAACCTAAAACCGAGCTGTGATTCAGCTTAAACGAACCACAAAGCAGTGGGGTCACTCCTACCTCCACACTCAGGCTGGCACAAAGATGGTCCCACAGTGGCCAGGCCTCTCTTCCTGCGCCTCTCCCAGGTAACTGCTTCAGCAGGGCGCCCTCTGACCTATGACTGCCAGCCAATGCCCCCCTGCCTCTCCGCCAGCTTGCTCAAGCTAACCATTTAGGAGGTACCTCTGTGAAAAACATATCCTACTAATCCACGGTCCAGACTGCACGGTGTCCCCACGATCACACGCTGCCTCCACTCTGTTGTCATGGCACCCATGACACTGGGCCATAATCCAATTACTCTTACCCACCTAGTGCATGGAAGTCCCTTGAGGACAGTTATCATTCAGTATCTGACTTGACCTGAGGACAGCAACCACTTAGCATCACACTTGACTTTTCAGTTTTAACAACAAGCACAACTTCTGGCACACAGCAATTCTCAAAACTGTATCTTGATGAAATACAGGTTAAATATCCTTTATCTGAAATGCCTGGAACCAGAAATGTTTCAGATCTTAATATCCTTACTTAACAGTATCATAGTCCTCCATCACTGTGACCATCAGCATCACGCGTTCATGTCAACCGTGTGATGTCCCTGGTCCCATCAGCCCCACCTTACAGACGGGAAAACCAACTCAGAGTCCAAAGAGAGCCTGCCAAGTCCACTCCACTACCAAACACAGAGGGCAGGAATGGAATTCAGACCGTCAAAGGGTGCTCTCCACCCAGCTCCTGCTTCCCACACTGGGGGTGGACAGCCTCAAGGGCACACGTGGGATTGCAGGGGACTCCTCGAAGCGACCTTTGGGAAATCAACTGTCCCTCAAAGATTTTGGGGACAAGTATGTTGATATTTAAACAATCAGACATATTACTGAATACAATGTAAACATTCACACTAAATTTTAAAATAAATTGTAATTGGCTGGCCCCTACTCACACACAGAGGAAAAGTCTTCCCTCAGAAAAGCCTTCTGAAACCTAAACATCGAATTCCCCCTAAATAAGACCCGAAATAGCAGGCTACACTGATCCAAAAAGGAGAGAATTTAACTTCCAGCATAAAGCTGTGACTTCTGGGCACTGCTGGACAAGGAAGGACTCAAGAGAACCAGTTTCCCTGTTCTTCCAGCTTTAAAGTCATTAAAAGCATCCAACGGGGCTGGCGCTGCAGCGAAGGGAGTAAAGCCACCGCCTGAAGGACCGGCATCCCACATGGGCACGGTTCTAGTCCCGGCTGCTCCACTGCCGACCCAGCTCTCTGCTGTGGCCTGGGAAAGCAGGAGAAGATGGCCCAAGTCCTTGGGCACCTGCACCCACATGGGAAACCCAGAGGAGGCTCCCAGCTCCTGGCTTCAGATCAGCGCAGCTCCGGTCATTGCAGCCATTTGGAGAGTGAACCAGCAGATGGAAGACCTCTCTTTTTGTCTCTCTGTCTCTGCCTCTCTGTAACTCTGCCTTTCAAATAAATAAATCTTTTTAAAAAGAAAAAAGTGCACCAAAGAAAGTCAATCGTCAAAAGACATTTCTCATCACATAGCCCCCCAACTCATTAAACCCTGGAGCCAAGGGATAACAACAGGAAGACGGGAGCCTGCAGGAGCGTGCAGTCTCAGGGGGCAGCTCAGGGCACACCCAGCTGTGGACGCGAATTCCAAACCAGGCAACCTCTGTGGGGCAGCTGTCACATCGCTCCTCTCACCTGAACCTGCAGAACCCGGACAGGAGCCCTGACAGAGGCACCATGACCCCTCTGTCGGGAAGGAGGCAGGCCTCCCAGGCACCTCCGCGTCTCCGCGTGCACAGCCTCCTCACAGGCACGGAGGAAGTCAGCCTTTGAACACCTTCACGACGACGGCTGACTCCAGGGCACTCAGGGCTCACTCACAGCACCGTGGCGGTGCTGTCCTAAAGACTTCAGCCACGGGGTTCATCACTTAGGTCTTCCCACCATCTGAAGAAATCAAGTTTCTGATAAATAAGCTTTTTAAGTTTTGCCACAGAATCAACATTTTCAACTGGAAAAGAAATCAGGATATCAGAGCAGCAGATCCTAACACCGTTCTTGGTGGAATGACCCCATGAGAAGTCACCAAACAAACAAACAAAAAAAACTTGGTGTTTAAAATCAGCGAAATAAGACCTAGAAAAGTAAATTATGAAGCTAAATGCCTGGCCAAGTTTTTTACTTCTTGAGAATGAGAGAGCTTCAGTTCACTTTAGCACAGGACACAGAGCAGATCTGGTCAGGGGCTTTTCAAATTTATATCCCTCCCTCTACCACCATTTTTTGAGACTTTCTACCCACCACGAGCAACAGTACAGAGAGGAACGTGTTTCTGCCCCCGCTCTGTTACCCTCTACAGCCTCGCCCTCAGTGGAGACATCCTAACCAACAAGGGGGCTTGGTCATGAAGGGCTACGCAGCAGCTCAGGACAGCGCAAGAAGTTCCATGACGGGCAACCACCAGCAGCATGGCTAGCACCTTTCTACCAGTAGGGAGCAACGGCGCAGCAAGGTGCCAGACCCCTCTCCCCAAAACAGACAGCTCTGGTGTAGCAGAGCCTTCCACCGTGCGCTCAGCACCACTTCTAGGAAGCCTTCCCAGCTACCCCAGCCAGCTAGGAGCTTTACTTCCCTTATTATGCAGAAGGACTGCATTGCAGTCCTCCCTACAACCCAGGCACTCACTTCTCAGGGGGCCTCTCAGTTGAACAGTCCTCCTGAAGGCAGGACAGTGAGTTTTCGTTTTTTTCTCAACCTTTCCATTCACAAGCTCTGGTTCTGGTGCTGCCTCAGTCAAGCACCTGCTGGTTCCTGGCATCTCCCCTCAGAGTGCACAGGAGTCAGAATGTTCCGGATTTCTGCAGGTCATGCCCTCAAAGGTGGGTGCTGTGTCTGACACACCCCGGCACCGTAACTGACTATTAGAGGAACCCAGGGCGCCTTAACCGAACGTTAATGGGAAGAGAAAGACTCCCAAGTTCCAGCTAACGATCTACTTATCTCAAGGAATACAAATTGCTGCACAGGAATTCTCGGACTCCTGGACCTGACAGAAACCAAGTCACCTGACTTTATCCGCAGGGGGCAGCAAGAAGTGCCACTGAGGGGCCGCGCTGTGGCAGAGCAGTAAAATCCACCACCCGGGACGCGGGTATCCCATACGGGCACCGGTTTGAGACCCGGCTGCTCTGCTTCCAATCCAGCTCCCTGCTCACGTGCCTGGGACACAGGCAGATGCCGGCCCGAGGCCTTGGCCCTGCCCCCACGGTACATTTGGAGGAGGCCCTGGCCCAGCCCTGGCTGTTGCAGCCATCCAGGGAGCAGACCAGTAGACAGAAGATCTCTGTCTCTTCCTTTCTCTGTGTAACTCTTTCAATAAATAAATCGTTAAAGAAAAAAAAGTTTTACCAAAAAACGTTTTTGTTTAATGACAAAAAGCTCACCTTCTTCCTAGGCTGGCGCCGCCTCTGCCCACCTTTCCTGGAAGGGTGCTGTCAGAACTTAAATAGACGCCAGCGGCTTTCTAAAAATGAGAAAGCCATTTTGAATTTTCAGTTAATGATGAACCATAGGTTCTATACAAGTACACATGCATTTTCTTGCCTTTTTTTTTTAATATTTATTTTCTTGTTTAAAAGGCAGAGTTAGGGGGAGGGGAGACAGAGACAGAGAGGTCTTCAGTGGGCTGGTCCACTCCCCAGGTGGCAGCAAAGGCAGGGCTGCTCCAGGTCTCCCCGCTGGGTGCAGGGGCACGAGCACTTGGGTGTCTCCAGCTGCTTTCCAGGAGCACCAGCAGGGAGCCAGACCGGAAGCAGAGCAGCAGGAACGTGAACTGGCACCCACAGGGGACGTGGGCATCGAAGGGCCATGGTTAACCCGCTGCTCCACAGCGCCAGCCCCTTCTTTCCTATTTAAAGGTGAATGTTTGGCTGGCGCCCCAGCTCACTAGGCTAATCCTCCGCCTGCAGTGCCGGCACCCCAGGTTCTAGTCCCGGTCACTCCTCTTCCAGGCCAGCTCTCTGCTGTGGCCCGGGAGTGCAGTGGAGGATGGCCCAGGTGCTTGGGCCCTGCACCTGCATGGGAGACCAGGAGAAGTACCTGGCTCCTGCCATCGGATCAGCGCAGCGCCGGCTGCAGTGGCCATTGAGGGGTGAACCAACGGAATGAAGACCTTTCTCTCTGTCTCTCTCTCTCCCTAACTCTGCCTGTCAAAAAAATAAAAAATAAATAAAATAAAGGTGAATTTTCTCCCATTTCCATCAACTCCTTTAGGACCCTGAAGCCTAACACTGCGGTGTAAACTGTAGGTATCTCTCCCCATTCCCTCTCCCTACCGCCCTCCTGCCCACAGGCTTCACTCCTCCTACTCACAGCAAATCTAAGCATCGTTCCAGGTTCAGGCCTTAGCTGCCTCTCCTTGGTCACCTTCCAAGTACGCTGGCCTCACCTCCTCCTTTCTCACTCTGTGGCTCTTCCTAATTTCTCTCTGTACCTTACGTCAGTAACTATATCCCCTTCACCCCAAAAAAACAGCAAATAATTTTTCTTCCTCCAAGACCACTTGCGAAGAAACCCACACAGGGTCCTGACTCTGCAGAAACCACCCTGGGCCTCTGGACCTCGGCTGAGTTAGACCTCCCCTGGACCCTGCAAGGAGATTCGGCTGTTGTGTAAGATTTGAAAGGCTGACGTTTGGAGAGTCTTGCTGTAGTAAAACGAGAAAACAGAGATGGGCAAATTTAACGCAGTTTCCTTTGTTTGCCTGAACTAGCTTAGACTTGCAACACCACAGTGACAGTTTTATTTTTCTGGTAGTGCAGCTTTAGCATCATAAGAAAGGACTTTAAGGAGGTGATAAATCATTCTCATCTTTTAGCTCATTAGCATGTCTATTCTGCTAACACCCCCAGAAAGCTCCTTCTTGATTTGCACAGTAAAAAAAAGGAAAGGGATTCTAGCAGAGGTGCTTAGAGGATAAAATCCCAAACACCCAACACCGAGGAAAACAAAAAGCAGCTCAGATGTTTCAGTCGAACGAAGGACAGCCGCACACAAGCGTGGAGATATTCCAACGGAATTAAAGAAACAACTGGTCACTGCCATCGCCTATTCCCAATGGAATGTCTACAGCCTTCTTAGTGGGGCCACCTTATTAAAACCAAAAAGAATGGACAGCATCCAAGGGAAATAACTGGTCTTTCCCCTCACAGGAAAATTCACATGAATATCAAAAAAAAAAAAAAAAAAAAGGGCTGGATTTCTCCGTAGCCAGCTCTCTGCTTTCCTGGTTCCTGCATTGTGACAACCGAACAGATGGCGTCTGGGCGAAACACCTCACATCTTAACCCTTATCCACGACACGGGCTGATTTTAACCAGTGACGCCGGAATCCACGCTCCACCAGGGTTTTCCAATCTCGTCTGCTATTTCCAAGCTGCTAAATTGATAAGGCTTTTATTTTGTTTCGGCCAAAGAATTTTCCATCTTTGGACCAATTCTTAACGTCCCCACTGTCACAATGCAGCGAGAAACACTCCGGCGGTGCGCGGCGCCCGGCTGTCAGACTCCCTACATGTGATGCAGTCTTTTACAGGCCATTTTAAAGACACGAGAAGATTCTAAAGCCAGCAGCTGGTCCACCTGCCCATCCTGCGCACAGGCATTTTACAGACACGTAGACGACAACCGACAACAAGTCCCAGGCTTCACCAGTGTGTATCCGCGCCAAGTGCTAGGGGAAAACACGAAACGATGGCTCCCGTCAACTGTGTGCTGCGAATGTAAATCAGGAATCGGCGAGCGCGCTGCTCCACGCAGCCCTCATGACTCCACAAAAACAAATGCATCAGGGACGACGACACGCACACCCGCACCCGCACCCGCACCGCTCAGACAGGGCCAACGCCGAGCAGTGCCCTGCACGGGCCCCGTCCGGAGGCTTCTCCCCTGCAAGGCACGTCCGCGGTCCTGCACCCCTGCCCAGCCAAGCGCCGCCGCGCCCCCCGGGAGGTGCCCGCGTGGAAGCGGGGCCCGGCGCGGGCCCCCGGCACGCACACACCGCTGCGGGCGACCTCTCGCACCAGCCCGGGGCGCGCCGAGCCCGGGGCCCGGACCCGCCCGCCGCCGCAGCTCCCGCCTGCGAATCATTCATTCATCCGCAGAGGCATGACTCAGTGTAAACTTTTAAATAATGGCTCAAAAAAAAAAAAAAAAATCACCTCCAGCAGCCCGCGGCGAGCACGGTCGCCGGTGTAGACGGAACGGGCGCCCGGCAGGAGCCGCCGGCGCCTCAGCACCCCGGGGGGCTCGCGGCGGCCGGGAGGCCTCGCGCCCCGGTTCCTGAAAAGCCGCGGCCCCCGCCGCCCGGCCTCCCCCACAAAGTTTCCCGAAGTTGCGGCGTTCGGGGGGCGGCGGGGAGCCGGGCCGGGGCGCAGGGCGAGGCCGCGCGGACCGCCGCGCCGCCTGGGCCTGCGCCGCCCCGGGCAGCCCCGGGCCCGGCCCCGGCGCCCGGCGCGCGGGATGCAGGCGCCGAGGGTGGGCCCGTCCGCGTCCCGCCCGCCCGCCGCGGCCCCTTACCCCGCGGTGCGCGCCGCTCGGCCGGCTCAGGGGCGCCGGGCGCGTCCTCCGCCGCGGTCCGCAGCGTCCTGCTCCCCGGGCAGCCCCATGTCGGGGGGCGGGGAAGGGCCGGCGCGGCCGCCGCCGCCGCCGCCGCCGCTGCCGCTGCCGCCGGCTGGAAAGTCCCTGCTGGGCTGCACCCGGCTCGCGCACGCGGCGGCCGCGCCGCGCCGCGCTCGCTGGCGCCCTCGCGCACCCTCCCGCCGGCACTTCCTCTCGCGCGCTGGAAATCCCCGCCGGCCGCCGGCGCGCGCCCCGGCGCGCGCGCCGCCCCGCCCCCGCCGCGCGCGCGCGTGGGAGCGGCGGGAGCCCGCGCGCCCCCGCGGCTGGTTGCTAAGGGCCCTCGGCCGCGGCGCCGCGCTGTGCGCCCCCCGGCGGGCCTCGCCCGCGGCCGGAGCCCCCCGCCCCGACAGCCGCTGCGCGCCCCCGCGCCCGCCGTTCCGGGTCGAGAGGCCACGCGGGGCGCGGGGCGGGCGGGCGGCTCCTCACGCTCCGTCACGCGCGCCCGCGGGCGGCCGTCGCAGCAGGCCCACGGCCTCGTGCCCCGCGGACGCGGCCATCGGCCCCTGCCTGCGCCTCTCGGGGCTGGCGTGGCCGGGTGCCTCCCTCCCACACCCAGGAAGCCGCGTCCTGGGCCAGCGTGGACAGCCGGGCGCCGGCGGGCCTGCGCCCTCTGCTCCCGGGCCGGGCCGCGGCCCCAAGTCCCCAGTGCGCCATCAAGGCCCCCGGGGGCTGCGTCCACGGCCCAGGCCCGCGCCGAGGAGCCCCTCGGTGACCCGTGCCGCCCCGCGACTGCTGTGGAGGGGGCGGCCAGCGCGGGTGGCCGCGTGCGCCGGCCCTGCGGACGACTCCAGAACCCTGGCCGCCCGCCTCGGCTCGGGCGCCCTCCGCCGGGGTCCTGCCTGCTGGGGTCGGCCGGCCGCGACGCCGCCCCCACCCGGACCACGGGCCCGGAGCCCCCGCGCCGCCCGCCGCCCCCACTTCTCAGGGTGGGCGCCCAACCCCGGCGTCCTGAGGGGGCTGCGTGGGGACGCGGCCTCGAGGCGGACGGCCGCCGGGCCTCCAGGGAGCAGCGACCCGGGGCCACGGCCCCTCGCAGGGCTCCCGCGCGCTCCCTCCCTTCCCGGCTGCCCGCGGCGTCGAACGCGAGGGCTCCGGGCTCCGGGCTCCGGGCTCCGGCCGCCGCCGTGGCCGCGACCTCTGCTGGTCAAGCCCGCGCTGCTGCTGCTGCTCCCCCCTCCTCTCCCTCCTCCACTTCCCCCTCCTCCTCCTCCTCCTCCTGCTCCTCTCCCTCCTCCTCCTGCTCCTCCCCCCTCCTTCTCTTCCTCCCTCCTCCTCTCCCTCCTCCACTTCCCCCCTCCCTCCTCCACTTCCCCCTCCTCCTCCTCCTCCGCCTGCTCCTCCCCCCTCCTGCTCCTCTCCCTCCTCCTCCTGCTCCTCCCCCTCCTTCTCTTCCTCCCCCCTCCTCTCCCTCCTCCACTTCCCCCCTCCTGCTCCTCTCCCTCCTCCTCCTGCTCCTCCCCCCTTCTCTTCCCTTCCTCCCTCCTCCTCTCCTTCCCCCCTCCTCCTCCTCCCCCTCCTCCTCTTCCTGCTCCTCCTTCTCCCTCTCCTCCTCCTCTTCCTCTCCTGCTCCCCCCTCCTCCTCCTGCTCCTCCCCCTCCTCTTCCTCCTCCCCTTCCCTCCTCCACTTCCCCCTCCTCCTCCTCCTCCTTCTCCTCCACTTCCTCCTTCCCCCTCCTGCTCCTCCCCCCTCCTGCTCCTCTCCCTCCTCCTCCTGCTCCTCCCCCTCCTCCCCCTCTTCCTCTCCTGCTCCCCCCCTCCCTCCTCCACTTCCTCCTCCTCCTCCTGATCTCCCTCCTCCTCCTGCTCCCCCTCCTCCCCCTCCTCCTGCTCCTCTCCCTCCTCCTCCTGCTCCTCCCCCTCCTCCCCCTCTTCCTCTCCTGCTCCTCCCCCTCCTCCCCCTCCTGCTCTTCTCCTTCCTCCTCCTGCTCCTCCCCTCCTTCTCCTCCCCCTCCCCTCCTCCCCCCAGCTCCTCCTCCTCCCCCCTCCTCCTCCTGCTCCTGCTCCTCCCCTCCTTCTCTTCCTCCCCCTCCTCCCCAACTCCTCCTCCTCCCCCCTCCTCCTCTTCCTCGTCCTGCTTCTCCCCCAGCTCCTCCTCTCCCTCCTCCCCCTCCTCCTGCTCCTCCTCTCCCTCCTCCCCCTCCCTCCACCTCCTCCCCCTCCTCCTGCACTTTCTCTTCCTCCTCCCCTTCCTCCTCCTCTTCCCCCTCCTGCTCTTCCTCCTCCTTCTCCTCTTCCTGCTCTTCCTCCTCCTCCTCTTCTTCCTCCTTCTCCTCCCCCAGCTCCTCCTCTCCCTCCTCCTCCCCCTCTCCCTCCTCCTCCTCCTTCTCCCCCTCCTCCTCCCCCCTCCTCCTGCTCTTCCTCCTTCTCCTCCCCCCAGCTCCTCCTCTCCCTCCTCCTCCCCTTCTGCTCTTGCTCCTCCTCCTTCTCCCCCTCCTCTTCCTCTTCCTTCCCCTCTTCCTCCCCCTGCTCTTCCTCCTCCTCCTCCCCCTCCTCCTCTTCTTCCTCCCCCAGCTCCTCCTCCTCCCCCTCTTCCTCCTCCTCCTCCCCCTGCTCTTCTTCCTCCTCCTCCTCCCCCTTCTCCCCCTCCTCCCCCCCCCTCCTCCTCTCCCTCCTCCTCCTCCCCTTCTGCTCTCCCTCCTCCTCCTTCTCCCCCTCCTCTCCTTCCTCCTCCTCTTCCTCTTCCTCCCCCTGCTCCTCCTCTTCCCCCCTCCCTCCCCAGCTCCTCCTGCTCCCCCTCCCCCTGCACTGTCCTCTCCGGTTGTCCGAACAGTTCCGGAGCTCCAGTTCCGGAGGCTCGGGACAGGGCAGCACAAACTGGTTCTGCCCCACACAGGGCTGCATCTTTGGAGGCGGGTGTTGTGGCCTCTGCAGCTGCAGCCACTGGGGAGCAGTGATGGGCAGCAGGGAGAGCCAATCACCGTCCTCTCGTCGCTGTGTGGCGGAGGCCGAGCGCTGGGTTCCCTATGGCAACGCGGAACAACAAGGGGCCACCATTTCTGCAGACACTGCTCCCGGGAGCCGCTGGAGCGTGACACGTCCTGCGTGCGGCGTTTTGCGGAGACGTGCTTGCGGCTGTGAGAGTGACTCACGGGAGTGCGACAGCTCGCGGAGCGGGAGAAGAGGGCCGGGGGCTGCCGGCCCGCCTCTCTGATAGGACGCCCGGTGCCGCAGGCGCCCCCTCCCCACGCGGAGCTGCTGGGCGCTGCTGCAGCCGGCAGGCAAAGCCGACACCGACCGGCAGACAACACTACAGCAGGAGCTGTGCGGGCGCACACCCACGGGTGTAACTCAACCCCAAACGTGCCAGGCACTACGGCGTTGTGTTTCCTCTGTTAAAAGATGGGTTTATGTATTTAAAAGGCAGAGTAGCAGAGAGATCTCCCATTGGCTGGTTCGCTCCTCAAATGCCCTCAACAGCTGGTGCTGGGCCAGGCCCACGGCAGGAGCCTGGCACTCAATCCCGGGACCCAAGAGGATGCGCAGGATACAGGACACCGGCCGCACACCAGCAGGGACGCAGCAGCGGGATTCGACCTCACGCAGTCTGCGTGGGATACCAGCATCTCCAGCTGGACCCGCCTGCTGCACCAGGACACTCCCTCCAGTTGTGCCTAATGCTGATCATGACCTCAAAACTTCCTGTTGGCTCTCAGCCTGGACTTGGAAAGTGCTATTTTACACTAGGTGGCGGGAGGGGTCCGGGTTGGGTGGTCATGGTGCCAGTGTATCCCTGCCCCTCCGTGCGAGCTGCATCTGGGCTGGCTGGCGATGCGGACGTGGACAGGGACGCTGGACACTAGCGCACAGGGTGTGGTGTGAGGAGAGGCAGAGCAGGCCCAGGCAGGGCTCTTGGGCACGTGACGGGGAGACGGGAGAGGGAGGTGGCCTCATACAGTGTCCGTGAGTTTCATTTCTCTGGGGCACTCAGGGAGACAAAGTCACCCTTCTCTCAGGGAACCCACTCTGGGGTGGGTGTGCAACACCCACACACCATGGCACTCTCTGGGCCCTTTGGAAGGACCTGAGTCCTGGCTGTGGCCAGCCTCTCAACCAGCAGCTTTGAACGGAGCTCAAGCCCACCTCGGCCTTGGACACTTCCTGAAAATACATTCGACCCTGCCGTGCCCTTAGGCAGGAGGGATCCTCGCCCACCGTCAAGGGAGACCAGAACAGGATGCCTGTCGATGCCTACGTCGAGAGACCCACAGGAGCACCGCTCTTCTCTTGAGATCCCGTTCAGAGGCTGCAGCCCTGTGTCCCAGGCCCTGTGCCCCGTCACTGACCCTACTGGCCCTGTAGGCTCACAGGGGCTCCTACGTGCCCCACCCACCCCCACCCGCCCCAGTCTCTGCTCTTCCCCCACACAAAGGCCAGGGGCTGCAAATTAGAAATGAGGAGGGGGACCGCCACTGGGTCCAGATCAAGCTGTGGGTTGGTGA